GAGTACAAATGTCGCCTTGGAGATTCCCACGTTACTATCGCTACAGTGGTAAACAAATTTCGTTTTAATTCGTACTCGGTCTTTTAATCGTTTTCTACACGCAAGCGCAGTAAAAGTTCTTTACACGTTTTGACTCATTGACGTGCTGGCCTCGTATAGACAGTCGTCACTATGGCAAAGGTCAGGGTGGAACTTGGTTTGTTGCGTATCCTTTACAGGACGTTGCAGAACCAACCCTAGCAGCCCCAGGCTGTTGTATGGTTTCTCTAGGCAAATTTACGTTCAGTAGTTTGCCATTGCTTCCTAGACGGTCGGCTCCCTGATACCACTGTCGAAACCAACGCAAGGCGCATGGCCGGCAACTGGGATCGAACCTGGCACCCCGGCATTACGAAGCGTTCGCATCGACTTAGCCACAGAGCCGACAGGGTGGAACTAAGACTCTCTAATGTTTTATAAACACTAAATAGAATGAGGTGGCCACCCCACCCCTTTTCCTAGAGCATTATTGGACATGGGCAAACCAATGTGCAGGGGCCAGCCACTCAACCTACGACTTCTTATTATTGTTTTCTCTACTCCTGGAATGCCTCGCGGCGTGTTCACAGAAAGAGATCTCTGGAACTGGTTCTTTTATTCGCTTCGTATAAAGAACATTTCAGTGTCTGATATTTCTGCGGTCCATATTCTGCGTGGTCTACCTCTAGTTCTGTAACCGTTGTATCTGTATACCATTGCTCTGTGGTGCCCTGTCTTGTCTTGTTACGTGGCCAAACCATTTGATTTGTGAATACTCACTTGACATTCGCATGAGTCCTCTGTGTTGGTGGAGCCCAGGTCTAAGTTCCCAGTGCACTAATGTGTTACCACGGCACTGATGTCCCCATATATGTCATTCGAAATATAAACAATAATAAATCATACAGTTGAACGTTATTTATCGAAATTAAGCAAAACGTAAAATGATGTCTATTTTTGCACACTTCCACTTGATTTATATTTAAAAAGTTTTCTCCAGCCATTTCTTAATTGTAGTCAAGTTGCCTTTGATCAGATCCTCAAATCTAAACGTATGCAACACATCTGCTAGTATACCTAATAGAGATAAGACATTCAGCCTGTCTTGTTGCAAAGTTGTTCTATTTTGATTTTGAAAGATACTTCAGCTGAGAAAATCAAAGCTCAGCTTCGAGGCTATTGAAAATGTTTGTAGTGCCCCCCTCCCTTTGTGATGCCCTAAGCACGTGTTTAGTGGATAATCCAGCCCTGGCTTCGGTAATGGGGTCAGTGTCACGCCTGCCGTCTTCACTTACCAGCACATTTCCTGGTACTTATTATAATAGACATGGTCAAACGACAAGTCCAGTTTTCATAAATCCAATCTGCACTTGGACTCAAACCTGTAGTACGTAAATAAGGTGCCAGTCCGTCATACCCCACAAAATATTAGTCTTTCCAGGGAACTCCCCACGGAATCTCGGGGTTCTGGAGGTGGGGTGAGCTAAACAAAAAGAACCAAGATATGTATAGAGATAAATGGATAAATATTGTTTATGGGCGGGTTTAGGAATGCAGGCAGACAGATTTAGACAATCAGACATAACAGGATTTACAAATACCTGAAAAACAACCAGCGGGCAGTGGGCGGGCGAAGAACAGACAGGCTTCAGGCGAACAGATAGTTTCAGGCGAAGGACCAGGAAATACTTGCCCAGTCGCTATTATTAACTTAGGTGTAGGAAGGCATATAGAGCTCTTAACGCTACCAAATCCTTTGGGCTAGAATGTCACTTTATCAACAGTGAAAAGTATGTTTGTTGAACCTTCACATGGGGCTGGGGGGTGTTTGACAGATTCTTGCGCTAAAACTAGATGTGAATAATGGAGTGCGGTGCATAGCGCAACGACAGAAAATGGTGCTAAAAAAAAAAAAAACTTGAAACATGACGTGTAGATTTCAATCACAAACGCAGATGAGGACTGAGGTTCTCATTTTCTGATAAGAGGCCTACAGGTTAGTTATTTTTGTTACTTACAAACAGTGGCACGACGTGCGGGTAACAGCTCTAATTGTCGCTTTTATGCTTTCCACTCCATCATCATCATCATGTGCCCTGCCAAATGGCGTAAGCGCGCATCTCCACAGATCACAATCCCTAGTTGACAGGAACAGCTCACTTGATGATATCCCATCATGCCATCGTTTCAGCCGATTCAGCATCATCTCTCTTGGTCTGCCACTACCACCTTTTTTCCACTGATATTTCCAGTTGTCACGATGTTTTCCAATGCCTCTCTTCTCATTATGTGGCCAAAGAACAGTGTTTGTCTCTTTCTTATTGTTGTATATAGATATCTACTTTCATTAGCTTCTTTCAAGCAATCTTTGTTAGTTACTCTGGCCGTACAAGATTGTACTTGCCACTGCCAAAGAAAACAAGTTATTTTGCTACCTGTTAATGATGTTCACTATTTTTTTTTTTTTTTTTACAAATACGCCACTCCGTTTACGTCTCGGTTATAGCGAAAAGAACGCCTAGCTACATGCTTACTCTGCTCATGCGGAAACTTAAACGTGAGGGAGCTACCAGTTGCTAGTACTACTATGACAGCTGCAAACGCATACTTTCAACAGCGTTGCTACCAGAAAGAAAATATCACATGTTATATAACAGAAGGAAATATATGTTAATGAGGAAAGATTGGAAGTGGTGGAAAATTTCGAATATCTTGGGTCACTGTTTACCAACAATGGTGACACAATGAAAGAAATTAAACGGCGACTATCAATTGCTCTTCAAAGACTAAAACAACTGAATAAATTATGGAATTGTACAGATAGAATTACAAAGGTCAGATTTTTAAGAGCATGCATCTTTCCCATTGCAACATACGCCTGTGAGACCTGGACACTTACTAAACAAGCGGAACAGCGCATAAATGCATTTGAATATAAATGTTACAGACAGGTTCTAAGAATATCTTGGGTAAAGAAAAGAACAAATGCATCCATACTTCAAGAGCTGAATATTGAAGAGGGTTGGCTAGTAAAGACAATAAAACAAAGAAAATTGAAATATTTTGGTCACTTGAAACGTCATGGAGGTCTAGAGAGAACAATAATGGAGGGGTATATGCCTGGGAAGAGAGGAAGAGGAAGGCCAAGGAGAAGATGGGTGCAGGATGTGGCAGATGATCTCCAGATGGGTGTATCAGACGCAGGACATCTTGCTCATGATAGGAAGGTTTTCCGGAGGGTTGTTATGGCAGCGAGGTTCCGCGAGAGACATGCTACTGAATGAATGAATGAATATATAACAGCATTCCGCACAAATCCAAGCGTGCTCAGATCGCCTGATTCAATAGCTTTACAAGCTTAATTAAGACGACTTGATAGCGCCTGTTATGTTTTGAGTATTCTTGTGCACTTAATAAAATGTTCATGTCGGATTGTTCCAACTTATACCTTCATGTCCACCATTTTGGAGAGAAATAAAGAGTCGTGGTTTTTTGGTGCTTTCATGTTCGTGATATACGTCACAATTTCAACTTTCCGCGGAATTAACTGTGTTAACCTAAATGTCACAAGTACAATTTTGGCCGAAAGTTACTGGCCTGTTTAATTATTGCGTAAACACTGGTACCTCGAGTAACTAACGCCTCCAGCCACGAACAGATCGGCCCACGAATACAATTTCCGAGCAAATTTTATCTCGACCCGCAAACCATGCCTGGCCGCACCAACGCACAAACATGGCTTTGGCGCCAAGGTTACCCTACCCCTTTCAACGAACTAACGATGACAGTGATAATAATGATATAAAAACAGCAAACATCATGTTAATTAATGACGACAAATCAGTTATAGTACAGTATTAGACGCTTGCCTGCCATGCTCACGTCTTGGGTTTAAAACCGCATCGAAATAGATTTTTTTTCTACATTGACTCCCAGGCGGGCCCAGTCTAACATTGGTATCACAAAGTGTCCGTTGAAAGTAAAGGCAGCCAGTGTGACGTTGACAACACCATCCGTCGATGACCGATTGGTTTACAAATATCTTGGTCTAGCACTGCAAGCCGGATGCTGCAGTGGCCGACTGACTGACCGACTGACTGACCGACTGACTGACCGACTGACTTTCTACCCCACCAGGACATCACACAAGCCATAAACACCCGATGACACAATGTGCCACCATGTGGATGAGGATCACCGTGGAGAGGTCCCGGAAACCGCGTTCAGCCTTTAGGCCATATTTATGGCCATGCTATATTGCGGCCCCTGGAAAGAGCCAGAGTAGGGCTTCAAATAACGAAAAATTTCATCCGGTGAAACCGGTGTGGTAACCCGTGAACTAGAAGGAAACAGTGTATTTATATTTCACCATCACCATCATCATCATCATCAGCAGCAGCAGCGTCATCAAGTATTTTTTTTTTTTTTTTTGTGTGGTCAACTGGCGTGGGCAGTCGTGCCTCTCCACAACCTGCCATTCCATGCATGACAAACGGTTGCTAACAATCATCTCGGGTTGTCGACCCTTTCATTAAATTGATAGTAGTATTAGTAGTCGACGTTTACCCCACCAGGACATCACACAAGCTATAAACACCCGATGACACAGAGTGCCACCATGTGGATGAGGATCACCGTAGAGAGGTCCCAGAAACCGCGTTCAGCCATTAGGCCATATTTATAGTCAGACTATATTGCGGCCCCTGGCAAGAGCCAGGGTGGGGCTTCAGAATAGATAAAAGTTGCATCTCACAAGGAGAAGACAGAATACTATTAAATTGATTTCATAACACTGAACATAATAACCAATATAATCCACGAAATGTGTTCGTATCTTTACAGAATAACCGTTGCAACTAAATGAAAACACATCTTCAGCTCTAGTGAAGAAAGATACAATCAGCCGTATCCTGGATGACACCCTGAGAGACAGCTGGATCTATGACATTCTGTAATCTGGTCGCTGTTGACCTCTCCCAAAGATGAACACCAGCGTGGACGATCCCCGCATGTACGGGGAACCAGTTTATGACTTGTACAACTACACCTGCTCACAGGGTTATCTCCTCCTTCCAGTGATCAATGAGTATACCTGGGGGAATGGAGTACGAGCCTTCCTGTACTTGGCAGGTCTGCTGTGGTGTTTTCTGGGCGTGGCCCATCTTGCTGATGTGTTCATGGCCTCCATTGAAAGGATTACTAGCAGGACCCGGACAGTAAGGATTGCAGATGGCGAAGCTGAGAACGGATACATTGAGGTGGAGCTCAAGGTAAGATTGTAGAAGTGTTGATGTGTGGAATGGAGATCAAGGTAGGACTGTAGAAGTGTTGATGTCTGAAATGGAGATCAAGGTAGGATTGTAGAAGTGTTGATGTCTGGAATGGAGATCAAGGTAGGATTGTAGAAGTGAGGATGTGTGGAATGGAGATCAAGGTAAGATTGTACAAGTGTGGATTTGTGGAATAGAGCTCAAGGTAAGATTGTAGAAGTATGGATGTGTGAAATGGAGATCAAGATAAGATTGTAGAAGTGTAGGTGTGTGAAATGGAGCCTAAGGTAAGATTGAAGAAGTGTGGATGTGTGAAATGGAGCTTAAGGTAAGTTGTAGAAGTGTGGATGTGTGAAATGGAGCTCAGGGTAAGTTGTAGAAGTGTGGATGTCTGGAATGGGGCTTATGGTAAGACTGATTAGTGATTGACGTTCAACCCCACCAGGACATCACACGGAGCGACAAATACCCGGTGACACAAAGTACCACTAATCGGATGAGGATTACATGGGAACAAGTCCGAGAAACTCCGTTCAACCTCTATGGGTTAGATTAGGTCTCCGCCAACAGCCGAAGACTGGCTTTAAAATAAAGTAACATTGCTTCACATACTGGGACCGTTTTTTGATCAGGTAAGACTGTTGAAGTGTGGAAAGGGGTTCAACGTAAGACCGTAGAAATGTGGATGTGTGGAAACCTGCTCCAGGTAAGATTGTTGAAGGATGGATGAATGGAATGGGATTCAATGTAAGATTGTAGAAGGATGGATGTATGTAATGGGACTCAAGGTAAGATTGTAGAAGGATAGATGTATGTAATGGGACTAAAGGTAAGATTGTAGAAGGATAGATGTATGTAATGGGACTCAAGGTAAGATTGTAGAAGGATGGATGTATGGAATGGGACTCAAGGTAAGATTGTAGAAGGATGGATGTATGGAATGGGACTCAAGGTAAGATTGTAGAAGGATGGATGTATGTAATGGGACTCAAGGTAAGATTGTAGAAGGATAGATGTATGGAATGGGACTCAATGTAACGTTGTTGAAGGATGGATGTATGGAATGGGACTCAATGTAACATTGTTGAAGGATGGATGTATGGAATGGGACTTAAGGTAAGATAGATAAAAGTCTAGTGGTTGGAATTAACATAAAATTGTGTCAGACATAGACACGCAGTGGCAGGGATTAAAGTAAGACTATGTAGCAATGTGGATGTGTAGTGGTGGAGATTGAAGTAAGATTGTTTAGGGGTGTGGATGTATCGTGGTGGGGATTTAAGAAAGATTTATAGGAACGTGGATATATCGTAGTGGTGATTAAAGTAAGATTGTGCAGGGGTGCGTATATATCTCGGAGGGGGATTAAAATAAGATTGTGTAAATATTAGTGAGTTTTAAACAGATTAAGATAGGTCTGTGTAAAGAAACTTGAACACTGTCATACGAGTGACCTCCCCCTTCTTAGCTCGTACCGGCTGTAAACTTCGGTGGAAATTTCTGGTTTCTTGTCAGTTTCTAGACTTTAGTCTTGTTCCAAAATCTGAGCTTTGAGTGCACATTCGCTTTAATTTGTTTGCAGATGGATGGTTTCTCGCCCATCAGGTCAACGCGCTCCGATTTTTGAAGAAGTAAATGATTACGCAGCAGACACCTTCGGGAACGTATGGGTTTTTTGGCACATATTTAAGGGCTGGGCATGCAGAGAATCAGCATTGTCGTCATTAAACAGATATACATGGTGTGCTAAGTCTTGAATCATGCATGCGAGCTAGGCTTGTTTGAAAAACTTCACTTCAGTGCTGCAAGGCACAGGAGGAACCAGGCAAGATAAGATAAGGTAAACTAGGCGCCACTTTTCCTAAAAAGGTATACGGGCGGCATTGGTACTTTTACTCAACCCTTAGCTACACCTTTGAATAAGTAATGGCGATTTTCAACGCCTTTAGACGTTGTTTGCATATAGTGCCAGACCTATATTTTATAGAGGAATCGGCACTTTGTGGGGGAAATGGTCAGCATCACGCAGGATGCCTCAACCTCTCGGACTTTATATGGCACCCACTCAAGGTTTTTTTTTGAAAACGTCCGCCTCCGTCAGGACTCGAACCCACAACTTTCCGATCCGCATGCGAGCATGTAGCCGCTACAGCACGGTGGCTGCCATATGTTGGTTTTTATGTTAGTTAATGTTGGTAGTCCAAGACCGGTCATGCTGCTTACGTCACCAAACCGGGCTAAGGACACGTTAATGATGCCAGCAGCATGGCCCGTCAGATGGAGACGGTCTTGTCAAGACCTTCGGCTTCTCTGTCTTACCCTACCCTGACGGACTTCCGTTGGGGGGTTGGGGTGGGGGATCAATATAGCCTTACGTTTGAACGGGGTTTCTGGTGTTCATTCCTGGGATAGGGAAGGGAGGGGTGGGGAGGGGGGGGGGTCTCATTCGAATAGTGACACTTTAGGAAGTTAGATGTTTTCATGCTTTCAACTATTTTTTGGCCAACACTATACTATCAATGCCAGACGTGGACGCTTACATCCTCCAATGAAAGTAAAATTGTGACAACATAGATGTAATGCCTTAGAAGAGCTGCAGAAGTTTCAAGGAAAGACAGAATACGAAATCATGAAATCAGACGAACGCTAGGAATAAAGCCAGTCTCACAGGTCATCAAAGAACAACACTTGAAGTGGTTTGGACACCTAACAAGAATGCCCTAGTTCTATCTGCCACAGTGAGCCACACTAAAACGTTACAACGGGTATAGAGCTAGCGGAAAACCTCGGAAAACATGGAGTGATGGCGTTAAGAACAGCCTTACAGAAATGAACATCAGTCTTAATAGTGCTCTTGACAGAGCTCATCAACGAATGTTATATCCCCCACCCCCCTCCCGACACTTCGATGAGGTACGAGGTGGAAGAGAAGAAGAAGAAGAAGAAGAAGAAGAAGAAGAAGAAGAAGAAGAAGAAGAAGATGTTTTCATCGTCATCATCATCATCTGTTTTTGAAAAGAAAAAAAAACAACTTTTTTTTTTCAACCAGCATCCCCTAAGGAGGAGTTTTAAGGTATAAGTGTTACCAGGTTATGAACCATATACAATGGCTTAGCATGCACGCCACCAACCTCATAACACTCAGGATACTCCGATAAGCGCCCCATCCCTCATCTTCAGCAGCAAAAGAAGAGTTCCAATTACGATGGTCCCAGTAACTATTTGATTGTACATCCGTCTCGCCTTTTCCTTGAGTAGTGTTGAGCGTCGATCAAATCCCTTGCTGACTCCCTGTAGAGTTCAGAAAGCAGTGACAAACTCTTAGAGACTTGCAGAGCTCCTTTTAGAATCAATTTCTGTGGCGTAGCCTCTTAGATCTACCGTCCCTAGGTCTTACAAGTTGATGGTGTTTAAAGATGATGTTGTAGGGCGAGGTGACGGGCGTAAGTGTTTATGAAATGTAAAGTAAGAGGTATTCAAACAACTGTGCAATGTCTACGCAATGAAAACAGTTTTTTTGTTTTTGTTTTTTTGTTTTTTTGTTTTTACAAACTTTGAAATTCACCAAAGTAATAAATGTATTCCCAGCTACCACCGATGCACATGATATTGTCAACACTTGATCATTAAAAAAAGTTACTCAAAATTCAACAAATCAAACCATTGCGCCATAGTAGATTTTGCTTTATTGGTGAGAGCAGCAGTTAAGATCGAGAAACAATGTATAATCGTAATAATAAGATGTACAAATCCAAACTGGTATATGTTTTAAATAGCAATTTTTTTTTAAAAGTAGACTTCCAGAGCCTTGGGGGGGGGGGGGGGGGGGTGTGGGGGTGGGGGTAACAGTTAATCTGGCAATTTGTATTTCAACAGAAATACAGTAACGTTTGTACAGGGGTTGACGATGAGAACTGGTTCAGCTGAAACGGTTACTGACTCCCGCATTCTTTTCTAAAAATGGAGAAAGCGAATCGTTTCCTCATTTCCCTCCCACCCCCCTTTCCACCGCCCCCCTTTTTTTGTGTGTGCCGTACAGGGAAATCTTTTGTTTAAACATTAGTTTAGATTTTAACTTCATCAAAAGGGGGCGTTTTTACCCAGGTCACTGAGGGTCCTTTTCACTGGATAGGGTGTATGTTTTGATCAGTGTTGCCACTTTGGAACTTTTATATCAAAATTTAGATCTTTTTCATTGCATTTAGATACTGTTTTTGACGTTCAGATCGTGAATATTTTTCTAGATTCTTTTCATATGGAGTTAGATATTTTATATATATTTTTTTCTTTCATTGTCAATTTAATAATTACTGAGTAAAATATTTACTACAATATTTTTGTTTTGGTCTTCCACGTACATTGTGACAACTGCCATTACTTGAACTTTGAACTCTCACTAGGGTCAACGCACAAATATCTGGCAGCCCCGGTACTGATTAATAAAAACGCGCGTAAATCATACTAACTTTGTTTCAACCGTATCCTCACTGTGCTGACTTTGCGTTTCTTTTTCATGTGATTTAAAAAAAAAATAATTGCTCACCTTCTTATGTGGCTTTCACTTTGAAAAAACCTTTCAACATGCCAAAAGTAAAGTATGAGCAAATAATTTGGAAAGAGTGGTTGCATGATGACAAGATTAAAAACTGGGGATATGACCAAAGCTTGTTGTAAGTACTGCAAGTGTGAAATTTAAGCGAAAATACAAAACTCAAAGAGTCACGCAGAGACTAAAAAAGCAGAAAACTGCAGTTTCATTTAAAGATATTACACCGCTGACATTTGTTTTCAGAACTATACTGATAAATGAATCATCAAAAGTTGAAGTATCAGTCGCAATGTTTTTAATTTGTCACTCAACTGTGCAATTTCAAACTGTGACCATTTGATCGATCTTGGACTAGTTCAATTTGAAAAGTGTGATGTAGAGAGTATAGTTTAGGAACTGAAGGACCTTTTAATCAGCAAACAGTTAGGCTTGAAGAATTTGTCTGTAATTGGTACTGATAATGCCTCAGTGATGGTTGGTATAAACAATGGCGTTTATGCCAAGTTGAAGGAAGCTAACCCATTGTTAATACTTAAAAAATGTATGCGTCATTCATTGCAGCTAGCATTATCACATGCTTTATCTAAATATTTACCAAGGAATTTGGAATATCTTATAGCTGAAACACTTTACTGGTTTTCCAAATCATTTGTCAGACAACAGCAATACAATACATTATATACAGCCTTGAATGATGGTTCCACACCACCAAAAATTCTGTCAGATTGCAAAACTAGATGGTTATCAATTTAACCAGCTGTTAAAAGAATTACGAAGCAATGGCTGAAGTTGAAGACACACTTTGAAATAACAAGACAAAGGGAAAAGTGCTACACAGCTGAAATACTATATGGAATGTACAGTGATGACAAAAGTTTGTCATTCATTCTCTTTTTCTAACCTATTCTAATGGAAGTGCAAAAAGTTAATAAACTGTTCGAATCTAAACTTGTTGATAAAGTTAAATTACTTTATGATCTCACCTTGCTATTTCACTCGGTAAAAGACTGGTGTTGCCAACTTCTAAAGCTGATTTGTTCACTTGCACTATAGAGAGCTATTTGGCTCCTAAGCCACACCTTGGATATTAAATCGAATCAAAAATTGATGATTTAAAAACAAAAGGACTGTTAATGAAGAGAACAACTTAAGAAAACGCTGTCAAGATTTCATTATCTCATTATTGAAGCAATTGAAGCAGAGACTTCCTGAAAATCTAGATGTTTTGAAAAATATTTCACTTTTTTCTGTGAGCAACATACTTCAGCCAATAAAGGACATACCTAAATATTGTAAAGTTATGAAATTTTTAGGGGCTACTGATAATAGTGTCGGAATTGTTTAGTGTTCAATCTGTTGACAGACGGTAATCATGAGTTGAGTTGCAAAACATGGATAGTATCTTTGTTTTATTTCTGGTAGTGGGAGAATTTCTTATTATCTGTCTGTCCGCCCGTCTGCCTGCCTACGTCCATCTGTCTGTCTGTCTGTCTGTCTGTCTGTCTGTCTGTCTGTCTGTCTGTCTGTCTGTCTGTCTGTCTGTCTGTCTGTCTGTCTGTCTGTCTGTCTGTCTGTCTGTCTGTCTGTCTGTCGGTCGGTCGGTCGGTCGGTCGGTCGGTCGGTCGGTCGGTCGGTCGGTCGGTCGGTCGGTCGGTCGGTCGGTCGGTCGGTCGGTCGGTCGGTCGGTCGGTCGGTCGGTCGGTCGGTCGGTCGGTCGGTCGGTCGGTCGGTCGGTCGGTCGGTCGGTCGGTCGGTCGGTCGGTCGGTCGGTCGGTCGGTCGGTCGGTCTGTCTGTCTGTCTGTCTGTCTGTCTGTCTGTCTGTCTGTCTGTCTGTCTGTCTGTCTGTCTGTCTATCTATATACACTTCTACTAAACTACCCATATGTCTGTCTGCTTGTCTGTCTGTCTGTCTCAGTCGGACTGTCTGCCTATGCAATATAAAAGCTTGTCCGTATATCCCTTCATTCACCAATCCATTCATCCATCTATCCCCTTCCATCCATCGGCATTCATCCATCCATCTATTAGTCTGTCTGTCGTGCGTCCATCCCTCCTTCTGTCTGTCCGAATGTCTATATGTCTGTAGATTCAATAGCCCCATTTCCCCCACACAGCAACCTTTATGCCCCTAACAGTTAGACCCACAATCCTATATTTCATCACGCTATATCGACCTCTCCTCTCTTTCACTTCTGTAAACACGTCTGACTCAGACATGTACCACACACGCGCCAGTGACAGCTGCCGACTACATAAAAACATCAACACTCCAGAGTCTGGGTGATCCGACAAGCATTAATATTAAAGGTTAGTTGCGTATCCTTTACAACAATGGTCTCCAGGCTTTTTTCATGTAGCGCCCTCTTAAGTATATGGCAAAATACCCACTCCCCTGCCCCTCTCCACAACAAGATATGAATAAAAAGAGGACAGAAAGAAAAAGCCCAAGCACTGTTAACAAGTTCATCTCATAAATCAAAGAATCAAAGAACGAAAGAAACAATCACAAACCTCTGGTCATTTAACGTCCAAATTTCAGTGTGATGTTGTGCACTGTTTTGTTATGATGGTATTAAACATTTCTGGTCAGATTTTGGACAAGGCACAACTAAATTCACTCTCACAATTAAGCTAGCAGCGTTGTTTTGGTTTGAGTAGTTGTGTGTTGTTCAGCAAGTATGCAAGGCAATCTAAGGTAAATTGATCGCAGTTGTAACTTTCTAGCAAAGGGGGCATCCAATAGTTGCCCTGTTCCTGGGCTAAGGAAAACTATACAGAAAGCCCATCACTGCCTTTAGTGGAAAATTCACACAGACTGCAGTCTCGGCAAATCCAATAGCATACACACGCAATACAATCATAAAGAAGGCGTCAAAACTGCCAACACTAACAGTCCAACACTAGAAATTCTTTTTATCCTCGATGAAAGCAACAGTTTTAATAAATCAGTAGCTGCGTGCGCAATTAATCAATAATTAATTCAGTACCAGTTCTGTGGCAACAGGCCATCACCATTTTCTGAATCTTAAGTTCACAACACAAACCAGGTTGGGCATACTTCTAAATGAAATCAGCAGCTCATAGTGTCACGCCATACACTTAACCCAGTAGCTGGGCGATGAAACTATATTCTTTAAGTCTACATATTGAGGAAAATGTAACAACTAACTATTGCCAGAAGCCTTTTACTGGATTATACAATATATTATAATTTATATGATTTTGCAACAACAACAAAAAAAAAAAAAAAAAAAAAAATTTTTTTTGTTATTTATCTTAAAAAAACATTATTTGACAAAACATTCCCATTTAACATATATTTAAAACGCCTGTATATTTCAACGTTTTCAGAGATTAGCTGGTATATTTTAAAACAGTAGGGACCTCAGGGCTTTTGATAGCTAAGAGCCTCATCAAGTGTAAATCCGGCTCTGAGTTACTCCCGTAAACAGAAATTACTGATCAAGCGCCGATTTGTCTGTAATATATAAGTAAATTTCCTGATGCGCAACTGACGCCAATAGGTTTCTTTACTTCAAATAGCGAGACCATTTTTTTTCTGACCAAATTTATTTCCGGTGGCTGCTCATGTGTCAGATATTCTACTGACCAGAAAGAAATGATTTGTGTTCGAAGTACGTCTTTTAAGTGATTTTGTATATTTTTGTTCGTATTTGTGGTTTTATAGATCTATTTTGTACTGATAAAGGCTCTCTGGTCAAAACGTCCACACGTCGTTTGTGTTTGTGATATTGTGAAGGTGACTGGTTCTACTTTTTTTTTTGTTTAATATCTTTACTTCGCTGAACTTACTTCCTTACCGAAACCAGCATCAGGATCTACCTTGTCGCCTTGCGCTCTTAGAGGCATGGGTGCGATTTCCGACTGCGACCGTTGCTTTCACGAGTGTGACCTTTTTTGTAGTTCACTGAGAATAGTATACAGAGTCTCCTTCTCCGTCTCCCAGCAATGTTCTGGGGCTTGACCTGGTACAAAATCAGGCCAAGAGATTCATACTCAGCTGAGAAGGAAAAAAACAAACTTTGGACCACGCCCTGCGGTATGTCCTGGGTTTACTGACGATGGCCACCAGACATAAAGTGGCACCAGTGAAGGCTTGCATGAGATTATCAACAAAAATCAACCACCGACTTCACAAGGCTGTCAACGATTTAAAAGGGATGCGTCTCAAAAGAGACCCCTTCTAGAGGTCGAGGCAGAGAATCTAATCCAGCAAGTACGTGACCTAGACGAGATCAGTCACGGAATAGAATTGAAGGATACACAAGTAGACATGCATGACTTGTCTAAGGTTGTCATAACACTGGTGAGGTACTGTAGGAGTCAAATACCTGCCACCGTAGAGATGAGATTGGGGCACTGACTTATCAGCACTCACGCCCAAAAGACGTTGTCATTTACACTGATGGGTCCATGAAGCGCGGGTCAAGATCAGCATTGGTTTGCACAACACAAAGGATGGGAAAAACAATAAAAGAGGATAATGGTGCTTACCAGACGACTTCGTCAAGCATGACCATGGAGATAGCTGCTGCTACCAGAGCACTCGTGTGGGTAGCAGAATAAGTAGCCACACATGCGGTAATCGTTTCAGACTCCATGAACATGCTTTAGCAAATCGCTACAGGTAGTCTACGCTCCGAATAAGTAGAAAGCATTGGAAAGTCATGGTTAACCTCCATCATCTGGATCTACACACCTAGGCATATAGGAGTAAATGGTAATGAAAGAGCTGCAAGTAATGCACCAATGAAAACAGGAAGAAGCGTGGATAGAGCTGATATCATCACCCCTGTGTGAACTAGGTTGGTGGAAAATATTGAATCTATGACTCTAAGACAATTGTGTGACCGAGGAGTTGAGGTTGGCGAAATACAGCTATGCCCTCTTCGAGGTAAAGACAGGATATACTATAACCAGCTCCTCATGGGAACAATCAGTAGAGGTACTTTGGAGTGGCTGCTGCAACGTAGGACTGAGCACACATGGGAATGCCAAATGTGCAAAGACATTGACTATGAAAACATAACATGTCCTAGGGGCTTGAGACTCGATCCTTTTTAATTGCGTAATATAAGGAAAAATATTTAAAAATAATAGTAAATTTGTTATTGTTATTGCGCAACATAAACAAGGCGTAAGCTCTTTGACTGTCTCGGTTCTGGGTCTACATTTATCGTTTTTTTTTTTTAAACTCGGATCTGTGAAGTCTTTCCTTGCATTGTTTAACCATTTTCGTCCACTTTCAAAACTAGGAATATTTTTTTTTCGTAAGTAAATCAGTTGTCTTTTTTTGATTTCAGGTGTGGAATGACACTGTAGCAAACTTGAGCCTACTCGCTCTAGGCACCAGTGCGCCTGAGATTCTTCTGTCGGTCATTGAAATTATTGGCAATAGGTTCCAGGCTGGAGAGCTTGGTCCCGGGACGATCGTAGGATCAGCTGCCTTTAACCTGCTCATCATCTCCGCCATCTGCATCTACTGCATCCCTGAAGGGGAGATAAGAAGGATCGCTAGCGTGAAGGTAACACGCGTTACTAAGGAGTTATTGAACCTAGTTTTCTTGTTGGCACTTTTCTGTTTTTGCAGAAGATAATGTTCGACTGGGCTCTAAGGAGACATTGGAATCCCAGAGTATGCCGATTAGGCTGAGGGAGAATGTTCTTTCTCTCCAAAGCACAAAGTTTGGACAGTATTGTAAAGACCATGTGTTGTACCTACAGCATAATCGTTCACTTTGTCTGCTTTGTTAACTCCAAAGAAATGGTAGAAAGTCTGCCCGCCTGTCAAAGCTTCTCTCCTAGACCAGCTGTCGACCAAGGCTGAGGGCTTAGTCTGCCCTGTCATACATATAATTAGGCTAAGCTTCAAAGAAAAGATATCACATAGATCTAAACAATTATGGGCTGAATGCTTCGATGTGAAAGTGAGAATAATCGGTTGAGAAACAAACTGTAGGTTTGACAACTCTATGTCTCGAACAATTGCAGTCTGGATGCACATAACGTTAATGTCCCCACGCCCCGCCAAATACACATTAGGTCACTTCTGATTGGTAGTTCCTGAACCTGTCAACTTGGCACAAGGTTACGTCGGTGTTTCGCGATGCCGTTGATATCGCGTGTTGTATATTTCAGCAAACCAGTGCTTTTAATGCCTTAAAAACATGGAGCAACTGACCCTGACACCCCCCCCCCACCCCCAGAGAGTGCTGCAACCTACATCACATGCATTCTCTTTCTCGGAATGAAAACGTAAATACAAGACAACACAGAAAGCAAACAATAGCACGGGACACACCTGTAATCTTCAGGAAAGTTGACCAGCCCAACAAACTTGTGAATGAAAAGTGACCTACTTTGGGGGAGATTTGCGTGAACCTAACCGCAGTCTGAATACGTGTCGGTATAGTCTGATATTATACATAACCCGTCGTTAAGCTTATCCAGTTTCGTCCTTTTATAGGACGAAATTTTTTGTTATTTGAAGCCCCACCCTGGCTTTTGCCAGGGGCCGCAATATAGGCAGGCCATAAATATGGCCAAATGTCTGAACGCGGTTTCTGGGACCTCTCCACGGCGATCCTCATCCGCATGGTGGCACTTTGTGTCATCGGGTGTTTATCGCTTGTGTGATGTCTTGGTGGGGTAGAAAGTCAGTCAGTCAGTCGTTAAGCTTATGTATACAAACAACATCATTAAGTAAAAGATTGCTAAATAATACATGTATAATTGCATGCACGCTAACATTGCAGATATCATTGCAAACTGTAATCAAATTCTGCAGGTTTTCGCTGTCACGGCTTTTACGTGCGTGTTCGCCTACGTCTGGCTGGCCATTGTCTTGCTGGTAATCTCCCCTGACGTCGTCGAAGTATGGGAGGCGGTTCTGACATTTGTCTTTTTTCCTCTCCTGATCGTCGTTGCTTATTTGGCAGACAAGGATTTCTTTTTGAAGAAGGAGAAGAGGCACAGACAGGCCTTTATTGGGATTCCCATGAGTATGTTTATTTGTTGTTGCTGCTGTTTGTGTTTCTGTGGCAAGGCGGTAAAAGGGTTTGCCTCACGCTCTGAAGGGCGTGGGATCGTTTAGCAGTGCTGAAGCCGGAGTGCATCTGTCTGAGAGGCAAGGAAGCCTCAGTCTGCATACAAATAAGCCAGATATGTGAAAGTATGTGTCACGCAAAATCCAAGTATTGGGAACAAGACTGAAGTCCAGAAGTGGACTAACAACCAGCTCCGCATAGCCGGTAAACGTTAAGAAGACTAAGAGGTTTAGAGATGTTTGACATGTAAATGGGTCACAAAAGTGCTGAACCATACATGATGATGCCTCGGCCCAGAGCTTATACTGATTCTTACCGCTCAGTCCACATCTCTCCACTGTCATCCTAGAAATAGGTTCTCATACACGAACAGACACGGTTTTGATGGCCAGAAGATACATAATCAACTTCTGATCAGAAGAAGAAGAAGAAAGAAGAAGAAGAAGAAGAAGAAGAAGAAGAAGAAGAAGAAGAAGAAAAAGAAGAAGAAGAAGAAGAAGGAGAAAAAGAAGACGAAGACGAAGAAGAAGAAAAAACTAAGAAGAAGAAGAAGAAGAAGAAGAAGAAGAAGAAGAAGAAGAAGAAGAAGAAGAAGAAGAAGACGAAGAAGAAGAAAAAACTAGGAAGAAGAAGAAGAGGAAGAGGAGGAGGAGGGAATATGAGGAGTTCAACCAGGACTGTTAAACAACTTCTCAACTTGTAATTAACTCACTTGTGCGCTTTCAATGTTCACACTCAGTTTTATGTGGACAATCTGGCCTTTTTTCATCCCACCCCCTTATTTCAACATACCTGTTCTCTCTCTCTCTCTCTCTCTCTCTCTCTCTCTCTCTCTCTCTCTCTCTCTCTCTCCATTGTCACCAACAAACACAAAAACATTGAGGGTTCTGGGGGGGGGGGGGGGGGAGAGGGCGTGTCTGGAAGGGTTCTGGGAGCGAGTAATAACTGTTATCTCATCAATACCTGTTATTGTCTTCAAAAAAGAGCTATTGAAAAAAAAACAATCTTAATGTCTTTAAGCAAATAGAAAACGCTTTCTCTGGCTACAATGGATTGCGGTATTACCCAAAGTCTATGCATGAATTTATGTAGTAATGGATAGCGATTTTCTCCTCCATATTTTTATTCTGAAACAGTAGAACAGAATGTTCTTGCCTTTTTAAAGTATTAGTTGATCCTGCACTATCACTTCCCTCCATTCTTTATTTATGTATTCATATATGTTCTTTAACAATGTTATGACCAGTGGCATAACTAACATGGGTTTTCCTTTAGTAAGACTTACTGGAACCAGCGTACAATGGCAAAAGTTAAAATATTGATGCAATATTTCTAAAACGTATCTTCTTCTTCTTCGCGTTCACCAGCTGCAAACTTCGGCGGAAAGTTTGCTCGTCCACTTCTGGACTGTAGTCCTGTTCGAGAACTTGAGTGCTGCGTGTGCATCTGTTTTATAGATCTGACTTGTATGCAGACTGCTGGTTCCTTGCCTCTCAGGCAGATGCACTCCGACTTCGAAGGAAGCTCTCAATTAGTCGACTCTTACGACATGCTTTTGGGTAGGCAGTGGGTCTATTCTTGTTTTCACTATAAAAGGGCCCCAGAACCCACACGGGGATAAAACGTACCGAAAACAGCAGGCATAGTACAAAAACTAAAGTTTTGCTCAGGAAGGGTCAGGTAGTACCAATTTTGTATGAAACTACCAGCTTCGGCAGCTCTGGGCGGGCCTTCCCCTTTTGACACATTTTCTAGGCGGAAGAAAGGAAGCTTCGATAACAAACTTTTTCATGCACGCAATGATGATGCTAATGATAATAACGTGCTGAAGTGACCAATACATTAGTTTCCTTACAAATATTCTGGGGATGGCGAATCAAAGCAGAGCAACCCGCTCTAAAAAAATATGGAAAGGGGAAGAGGGCCTTAAAAGACTCCCTCTCCATCCCTGGGTTCCGACACCCCCCCCCCCCCCCCATCTCTTTGTTTGTCCATTCCTTTCTGTCTGACTCTCTGTCTCTCTCTGCATCTGTTTCTTTCTTTCTTTCTTTCTTTCTTTCTTTCTTTCTTTCTTTCTTCTTTCTTTCTTTCTTTCTTTCTTTCTTTCTTTCTTTCTTTCTTTCTTTCTTTCTTTCTTGCGTATGCGTGCTCTCTCCCTCCCTTTTTTCTCTCTCTCACTCCCTTTACACTGCATCTGTATTATCTATTTGTCTGGATTATATGTCTGTATATGTTTTTCTCTTTCTTTCTCTTAGTATCTACTCTCTCTCTCTCTCTCTCTCTCTCTCTCTCTCTCTCTCTCTCTCTCACACACACACACACTCATTTGCTCCTTCGAAGACACACCTCTTACGGCACACAACAATTGTCCCCTGCGTAGTTAATCAAAGATTATCTAGGCTAGTTTTATGTGTGACCTTTGAGTTTACCAGTAGTGATATGTAGTTCAAGAAGAACACAAAAAACATAGGCCGAGTTACTCGATATAGAATGATTGTAACAAGCGGTATATCTGATTTTCAGATGCTAACAAAGAAAGAGAAGCGCTTCAACCCAAAGAAAGTTTGGACCATGAGTTGCACAGACTGGCAAAGGTAAAGATTTGTGACTGATATACAAATGCAGCCCAACCTGGTGTCTCCCTCAACACCTGAAATGGCATAAGAGAGTGAAGAAGAACACACACATGTACATTCAGATGGGAAAAATCGGAAACAAGAATGCCTGGGGGGAAAGGTGTGGGGGAGGGGCTAGGCATCTGCTTATCCAATGAATGAATGAATCAATCAATCAATCAATGAAGAATTGACATCCATACAATTACCTGCTCAAAATGTGACACCATTGTTTTTTAAATATTAAAGCCTTACACCGGCTGGACTTGACCTTCGTCTGTGGCCTAAATGTAACCTTGCGATTGAATAGATTTTCTTGGACTTGTGCCTGGGGGATTCTCATCCGAATGGTGGCACTTTATGCCTCTAGGAGCAAACCATCTTTTATCTTTAAAAAAAAAACATAACTGAGGGGGATAAGTTTTCTGGGAAAAAAAAAAACATAACTGAGGGGGATAAGTTTTCTGGAGAAAAAAAAAGAAGAAGAGATAGCTTGACAGAAAGCTAATAAAAGTAAAATATTTAAAACTATAAAAAAAAAAGACAAATTGTGTTCTTGGACTACATGACGAGAAAATCGTGATGGGAGACCAATGGTGTGACTGCATAGATTAGTGCTGGAAGAGGCAGTGGCCAGCAAGATAGAGAAGAGAGAGAAAGAGAGAAGTGAGAAAGAGAGAAAAGAGAGAAGTGAGAAAGAGAGAAGAGAGAGAAAGAGAGAAGTGAGAAAGAGAGTAGTGGATGGCTTAAGATGGTGGAATGGATGTCTATGGTCAGTAGAAACAATACAGAATACAAAATTTCCAGCTTCCCGGTTGTCACGAAAGTTCTCTTTCATCAGATACGACCGCTTAGTTGTCGTCACAATATTGTTTATTTCTTAATGGACAGTCCATGCTGTTACTACTGCTGCAGATGATGACGATATAGAGCCTATCTTAATGTATGGAAGGGAAACATGGACAGATTATAAAACAAACTATTTTAAAAATGCAGAGTTGTAGTTTTATTTTAAAATAAAAAATAATAGAATGGGCAGGTTAAAAAACAATGTCACGAAGACGTCTTGAAATTAAATAATGAAAAAAAAAAAAAAACTGAGTGCCCATGTTAGAAATGGACAGGCCACCTTTTCAAAGTATATAAAAAAAAAGGGAAAACTGGAGGTCATGATAACGAGGAAGTCCAATGGAAATAAGGTAGAGGGAAACATGGTGAGATGATGTTTAACAGTTTTGTATCACAGCGTGAAAACAAAAACAGACGAATAAGGAATGACTAAAGTACAGAAGACAGAAAGCAGCACTTCTTGCAACAACGAGTCTCAGGGACGCAATCTATTGTAAGTTAACAATACTATAAGTGCCGATCCTAGGGGATGTAATCCATTTTTGTTTGTGTGAGATCACATAATAATAATATTCTTTCAAATTTAATATTTTTTTTAAGATTAGGGTTAGAATTCGTTAGGGCTAACCCTAACTCTAACTGTAACGTGAAGCAATATAAAATATACAGAACATTATTATGTGAACCTACATAAACAATAGATCGTGTCCCTTATGGTTCCATAAACAAACAATAGACTGTATTCCCTAGGGTCGCCATTTGCAAGAAGTGCCCAGAAAGCTGTTATGTGTCATGAGGGCTCATGTTAGCAGCATTAACTATCGACTGTGAGAAGAATTCTGTTTATCTGTTATTGTACTGTCATCAGCCCTTGAGAAAGAAAAGTGCCGGTACTCGCCATAAAGTGTCTAAAGAGGATTAGATACTCGCCACAAAGTTGGGCTTGCCTCTATTACAAAAGCGCTGGGGAAAAAAAACAAACTTAAAAAGGTGCAGGAACTGTGTACCGCCAGGAAAAAAACCCTGGTTTTCATCACTGAGCAGAGGAAAACATACCGACCATAGTGACCTATACAGCTCTAAAAACTGGTTCAGATAGTAAAGACAACTAAGTCAGTCTCATCCTTCTTGTATAGCTTTAGCTAAAGTTCGGCCATGGAGAAAGCCTTGGGATCATTCCTATTTCACAGGCTGTAGCCTCCAAGATTTCAACATATCACACATGCTGTAGCCTCCAAGATTTCAACATATCAGCATGGACACACACACACACACCCACACAGGCTGTAGCCTCCAAGATTTCAACATATCAGCATGGACACACACACACCCACACATGCTGTAGCCTCCAAGATTTCAACATATCAGCATGGACACACACACACACACCCACACAGGCTGTAGCCTCCAAGATTTCAACATATCAGCATGGACACACACACCCACACATGCTGTAGCCTCCAAGATTTCAACATATCAGCATGGACACACACACACACCCACACAGGCTGTAGCCTCCAAGATTTCAACATATCAGCATGGACACACACACCCACACAGGCTGTAGCCTCCAAGATTTCAACATATCAGCATGGACACACACACCCACACATGCTGTAGCCTCCAAGATTTCAACATATCAGCATGGACACACACACACACACCCACACATGCATGCACACACACGCGTGCGCGTATACACACACAAACACTCACACGTAGCTGATAAATGCAATATTAGTACACAATTTGTGCTATCGATGTCAGACATTGACAGTCTTAGAAAAACTTCATAAATTAAAATGTGAGATGAGATGTATAGGGATGGGAAAACAAGAAGAGATAGAGTCACCAATGAAGAACTAAGAACAATAGAAAGCAAAGTAACGATTTCATAGAAAAGATTATAAAAAACTCAAATGGTTCAGAATGGAACAAACTCAGCTAGCAGCTAGAGCATACCACAAGAGAGCAACAGGCTACTAGGCAAAATGGGTAGAGGGAGTAAAAGACACACTATAGAAACACATTGTGATATTAACACAAGTTATGTATCTAGCGAAAGCAGGAAACTACATCTAAGCCCTCTCTGTGGACATGCTTCACAGCATAAGCAGTAGGATAAAAGAAAAATGAAAAAGAAGAAGCCTCCTAACAAGTTTCCTAACTAAACATAATTGACATTTGTTTATTACCTGACCAGGAACTGGGGCGAGTTGAAGGTTTGCCCCCAGACCAGGCTGCCAACATCATTTCTCGTCACATTGCCGAGGAGGTGCCACATGACAGGGGCTGGTATCGTATCAATGCAATTAGGAGCTTGACCGGGGGTAGAAAGCTGATCCCTAAAGTGATGTCAGCTTTTGAGGATGTAAGTATTACTCAGTGTAATGGCTGTAATCATACCACTGGACTGCATATCATCTATTTTATTTAATATTGATGAATCAGCCATATGTACATGTGAATTAGCACCTGAGACAACAGATCTCGTCCTTCAAGACTGTCCCAGATACAACATATCAAGGCAAAACTTTTGGCCACAAGAAACACCGAAACACTGGTGCAAGCCAAACTTTACAGGTCACTGACTGCAGATTAGATTTTCCTGCTGTAACCTGCGACTTACGTAACTTTTTCAGTATGTTTAATTATTAGTAAAGTGCAGCCTCGTTGGCTGTTCCATATACTGCAGGTTAATCACTTGCCAAATAGGCAGATGCATGCTAACTATGTCCGTGCTTATCCAGTGAATGACATGAATGGATCAGTCAATTAGGAATTGACATTATTTTGCTCTTTAAACAGTTTCATGGGACAAAGTTTTTTTTGGTAATAAGCCACACCCTTGGTAGACTTTAGGTGATTTCGTAATGATCGGGAGCCCTAATTTAAATAAGCTTACGACTGAACAGGGTTTCTGTGATTTGCCCTGTGGGATTCTCATCCGACTAATGATGCAGTGCACTTTGCATCACAGAGTGTTAATCGCTCAGTGTGCAGTCCTAGAGGGTTCGGTTTCACTCTATCATCATTTCACTTGGTACTTAACTCTTTAAACCCAACCAACGCACCATGTGTGATCAGCTACTGCCCATGTGTAACAAGCAACCAACAATGTGATCTGATGTTTAGCTTAAGCACACTACTTAATACTGGTTAGTTTTTGAAATGCCCCAACCTGGTGTATGTTTTGCCACATCTGTGATAGTCAGGTTATCACATGTTATATTCACTATGACTATTGCTAACCTTGGGAAAATCTGGCAAAGTCTTCTGGTACTTTGAGAGTCAAGCAACATACCCTTACCCCTACAGGACAGCAAGTTACACCAGACTGGTGTTTCCTTTATTGATTTCCAAAATTACAAATTCCCGGGAGGTTGAACCAGGTACCTGGGCTTGCCCTGTCGGTCTGCCACCAGCATTGAGGTTTTTTTTAGTCACTGTGTCACATCTTCAGATCCAGTTGGTATGTCATCTTCAGATCCTGTTGGTATGTCATCCTCAGATCCAGTTGGTATACCATCTTCAGATCCCCTAGGTATGTCATCTTCAGATCCTGTTGGTATGTCATCTTCAGATCCCCTAGGTATGCCATCTTCAGATCCCCTAGGTATGTCATCTTCAGATCCCCTAGGTATGCCATCTTCAGATCCCCTGGGTATGCCATCCTCAGATCCCCTAGGTATGTCATCTTCAGATCCCCTAGGTATGTCATCTTCAGATCCCCTAGGTATGTCATTTTCACATCCTGTTGTTATGTCATCTTCAGATCCCCTAGGTATGTCATCTTCAGGTACCCTAGGTATGTCATCTTCAGATCCCCTAGGTATGTCATCTTCAGATCCCCTAGGTATGTCATCTTCAGGTTCCCTAGGTATGTCATCTTCAGATCCCCTAGGTATGTCATCTTCAGATCCCCTAGGTATGTCATCTTCAGATCCCCTAGGTATGTCATCTTCAGATCCCCTAGGTATGTCATCTTCAGATCCCCTAGGTATGCCATCTTCAGATCCAGTTGGTATGTCATCTAGATCCTGTTGTTGTGTCATCTAGATCCTGTTGGTATGTCATCTAGATCCTTTTGGTATGTCATCTATATTCTTTTGGTATGTCATCTAGATCCTGGTAGAATGCCATCTAGATCCTGCTGGTATGCCAACTAGACTAAGATGTTCTGATTTTAGGGGGTCAAACCTGTCCGTCAGCAGCAGCCACAAGGGGATAAGCAGTATACATGCATGCATTCAGGACATTCACTCATTAGTTGCCTTTCTTGGTAGCCAGAGAAGAGTCTCCACATCCCATGAAGAAGAGTTCCTGTTGATGCCAGCTGCTGCTTCTTCTTCTTCTGCCGCCTTTCTAACCCCTATTGGAGCATAGGCACCCAGCCAACTCACGCCAAGTTGTTCTATCCTTCTCTCTCACATGCAGCTCTCCCCTTGTCCTCCACATCTTTTTAATCTTACTCTCTACCTCCCTTCTCCATGTGGTTTTTCTTCCTTTATGCCTATGCCCCTAGGAGTTCCAGTGCAAAGATATTCCAGTTATATTGCTCTTAGTTTTCTCAACGTGTGTCCTAACCAACACCAGCATCTTTTCTTCACCTCTTGGTCCACTGGAATTTTGTTTGGTTCTTTCCCAAAACACCAGCTGCAAAAGTTTCCCTTTTGTCTTCTTCTCTTCTTGAAGTTAAAAAAACTGTCTAGATGAATCTGATTATCCATTTTAACTGTTCGTGTTATCAGAGCTGTTGAATCTTAATATTATTTTGCTGTTGCCAAATGCAGCATAAAGCTGAGGTAATTACTAATCGATAACATATTCTACAAACTTTTGCACAATTTCAGATTTACAAAGAAGTTCAGAAACCCTATGATGAACGTGTTAAACAAGATGGTGGCCCTCACACAGATTTCAGTGAGGGTGGCAGGCTTGCCGTCGTACAGTTTACAGCAGCCGCAGTGGCAGTGATGGAGAACGAAGGAAAAGTTCGCATTGGTATCAAAAGATCTGGGCGTATGGATATCCCTGTATCTGTTAGGTATGTAGAAATAAAAATCAGTCGAGAAAACCGGAGAAAAATATAATTAGAGTGTCTTTACATTTGAAGCCACGGGTTAAAGAAATATAAGCAGACTTTTAACAAATTAAAAGTTGAAAGAAATAAAGAAAAAAAAATACTGAAACACTGAGGAAGGAACCTGGAGTGAGCTTAAAAAGATGAGAAAGACATGGGGTCAGGTGCTTGTGAAAACAAAAGAGGATGATTAGCAAAGGATGGGATGACTTGGAGTAAGTTGGTTGAGAGTCAATATTCAGCTGGGGGGATAATGGGAAGAAGAAGAAGCAGCGACAGTAGCAGTAGAAGTAGTAGTAGTAGCAGTAGTAGTAGTGGTGGTGGTGGTAGTAGCAGTAGTAGTAGTGGTGGTGGTGGTAGTAGCAGTAGTAGTAGTGGTGGTGGTGGTAGTAGCAGTAGTAGTAGTGGTGGTGGTAGTAGTAGCAGTAGTAGTAGTGGTGGTGGTGGTAGTAGCAGTAGTAGTAGTGGTGGTGGTGGTAGTAGCAGTAGTAGTAGTAATAGTAATAGTAGTAGTATTAGTAGAAGAAGAAGAAGAAAAAGATGACGAAGGAAGAATAACCATTGTGCTCTTCAACAGAGCTACCTGTCTGAATTAAATGTTAAAGAATTTCTTCGCTAACGTGTTCCTCTTATTATCCCCAGAGTTGAAACCATCAATGGAACTGCCTTGGCAGGAGAAGATTACAAACCCTTTAACAAAGTCATTGACTTCAAGAAAAACGAAGCCCTCCGGGAGGTGTACATTGAGATCGTGGATGACTTTGAATGGGAGCCTGACGAGTTTTTCTTTGTGAAGTTAAAGGTTGAAAACTCTGAAAACTGCGTTCTTGGTCCTAACAGCATCTGCGAAGTCACTATTATTAATGATGATGGTAAGTGTTCCATAATTTTATTATTTATGTTCATTTTCTCTTCATTTATTTTCATAATTTTTTTGGTTCAATAATTTTATTAATTAATTTTCATCTTTTGTTATTCACTTTCATCCTTTGTTAATTCATTTTCATCTTTTGTGCATATGCCATCATTTTAACAAATAAGGCATTCATATTTTTATGTACAAATGTTTAGTATAGAATCATCTGGATTATTTTAATTAAATTAATAAATAAAAGTTCTGACAGATGATAAAAGTTCTAAATGTTTCTCTCTCCAAAAACTAGAGGTGTGTGTGTGTGTGTGTGTGTGTGTGTGTGTGTGGGGGGGGGGGGGGGGGGGGGAGGGGTGTAAGGGTCTTCTGTATGTTCTTTTCTAGTGCACTGTATTAGTTTTTTTTGGGTAAAAACTGTTCTTGATGTCATCATCCCATATATTGTGAGGCCTTTTTCTTGGTCCGTGCTTATTATATTTCTTTACCTTGGGGCTCTGTAGCGGTTAGTACCAGGGTATTCTCATCAGACGGCCAAACCTCATCTGTTTTTTTTTAAATTTTAAAGCTGTATGATTGATTTCAGCTCTAGTTTCTTCAGTTTAAATTATTTCTTGTCTTGTTACCCTGGTCATCGGCGGCGGGTCACTCATTGGCTCACTGATAGACGATTTTGTCGATGGTGGGGACAGTATTTGGGTGTGTCTCACTGATAGACTGTGGGGACAGTATTTGGGTGTGTCTCACTGATAGACAGTGGGGACAGTATTTGGGTGTGTCTCACTGATAGACTGTGGGGACAGTATTTGGGTGTGTCTCACTGATAGACAGTGGGGACAGTATTTGGGTGTGTCTCACTGATAGACAGTGGGGACAGTATTTGGGTGTGGGGACAGTGGGGACAGTATTTGGGTGTGTCTCACTGATAGACTGTGGGGACAGTATTTGGGTGTGTCTCACTGATAGACAGTGGGTACAGTATTTGGGTCTGTCTCCTTTGATCGCATCAGCACTGCAGGAGTCCTTTTCAGGGCCTTTGGTGGCGTGCAATGCTTATATGGTGCACATAACTTAGTCACAATTATAACCTAAAGCTCCTCCTTCTGGGATACTAGTTGAACGCACCATTCCATGGCTTTTTCCTGGAAAAAAAGTTGCTGATACTCACTACAAAGTGCAGAAATAAAATACCCTTAAAAAAGGTACTGATACTGAATATCGCTGTGTCATCATCATCATGTAGCAGGTCTTTTGCAGAACGTTGCTCTCATCACGGTCTGCTTGAAAGAAACTCGGTCTCTCACCAGCTGTCCCACCTCACGTACTTTCATACTTAAGGAGTCACTTATATTCTGTGCCCATCAGGTGTGCACACAGGAAGGTTACTAATTTAAAAACGAATATCATTGCATACTGGACACACCCCTTGGTGCTGTATCTCCAGCAACAAATGTCTTGAGGTATAGACGCCGACTGTTCTGAAAGCACACTGATGGTACAACTATTCCACTCTCCCTTTTTTTGGGTTTTTGTGGCCAGATCAACACTTATTTACAAATTGACATGACCTTACACATTTTATCTAGCATTGCATCTTTTAATTGCAGTCCCTCATAAATGAATGTCTGCTTTGTCACTTAAAATACATGAAGCGTGTATCAGCTTTAGAGGACATAATACTGTAAACAAGGTGTAAAATACAGGCAGTTACACATTGCAGTCAATTCATTTTAAGGTTATTAAATTTTAATTTTGACTCGATTTCTATTTCAAATTCAGAGCCTGGCATTCTGGCATTTGCCAAACCCAGCTTTGTGGTTCAGGAGACTGGTCTGAAGGCGTTGATCCCGGTGGTTCGATTGAATGGAGCTGATGGTCATGTGGCAGTGAGGTGGAGGACAAAAGATATTACAGCCATAGAAGGGAAGGATTATTCTGGAAAGGAAGGAGAACTCATTTTTGATAATCAAGAGACCACCAAAAACCTGATTATTCCCCTTTTTGAAAGTCAGGTAAATAACGATTGCGTATTTTATTGTTTTGTTGCCAGGACATTATTTTGTAAAAGAAATATCTTGCTTGAGATATCAGTGGCTGTGCACTGCTTTATGCTTCTTCTTAGTGTTCACTGGCTGTAAACTCTGGTTGTTCGTCCACTTCTAGTCTTTGGTCTTGTTCCAATACCTGAGTTTCGTGTGGACATCCCTTTTGCAATTTTTCGTTATTTTGAAGCCCCACCCTGGCTCTTGCCAGGGCTGCAGTATAGCCCGGCCATAAATATGGTCTAACGGCTGAACACGGTTCCCGGTTCCTCTCCACGGGTGATCCTCATCCACATGATGGCACTTTGCGTCATCGGGTGTCTATCGCTTGTGTGATGTCCTAGTGGGGTAAAAATCAACTACTTCTACTACTTTTGGTTTTTTTATAATTTATCATCCCTTTGTCGGATGCAATTTTTCATTATTTTAAAGCCCCACTCTGGCCGCAAAATAGCTCGGCCTTAAATATGGTCTAATGGCTGAACATGGTACATGTACAGAGTACATTTGCCTGAGAGATGGGGAAAAAACTGGCAGCAGACAAATGAGCCAGATCTATAAAACGGATGTGTGTGCAAATCTAAGGCTAAAGCAAAACCAAAGTCCAGAACTGGATGTGCATGCAAAATTCAAGGTCTGAAATTAGACAAAATTTAAGAATTGGATGAAACACCAGAACTTTCCTCTGAGTTCACAGCTGGTAATGTGAAGTCGAAGAAGAGGGCTACAGCAAAATAACCATAAAATGGTAATTACTGTTTATTCCAACAACAAATTCAGTTTACAACTGTCACTGTATTTATATGATTTCTCTAGAAAGAAGAGCGAGATGAAAGCTTCCAGATTGAGCTGTTTGAGCCTACCGGTGGGGCAACTCTAGGAAAAATCAACAAAACAATAGTCACCATTGTGAATGATGAAGGTGAGTTTTCTATAATCTTTTGGTCAAAAATTACTTTTTTTTGCACACTACCAAGTCCTCCGGGTAACTACAGAGGAAGAGGTGCAGAGATACTTGGATTTCTCAACATAACAACAGCAAAAGCACAAAACATGAAAATAACATTTGAAAAAAAAAAAAAGGTATGACCATTACAAGAGCAGAACAACCAATAAAGATATGCAAAGAACACCAATAATTCAAGCAAGCAAAAGACTTGACGTATCTAGGAAGCATAATATCATCCAGTGGAAACATGGAAACAGAACACAGATGTGTTAAAACAAATCAAATCATTTGAAAGATGCTACCAAGTTTGCAAACAGATACTATACAATACAATATTTTTTTTTTTTACCAGCATTGTGAAATCAGTACCAAATGTGGAAATCAACAGAAAACAGAAAAATCGAAACAACAGCATGAAATATCTACGATGAATCCCAAATGTAACTAGAAAAGACAGGATCAGAAATGATGATATAAGGAAAGAGATTAGGACACAACCAGTGCTAAACTATACCAAGAGATCAAATGGTTTGGACATGTGACACGACTGCCACCAGATAGTGCACCATTGAGAGCTCTGTCATTTGGACATAATGGAAGTGGAGCTAGAGGTCGACCCTTTAAATGATGGATAAAAAGAATATCTGAGATGGTAAATAACAACATCAAAATAGCACAAATCAAAGCCACAAAGCCAGCACACAATGCCTCTCCAAAACCTGACGCCGAAAGGCACAACAGGACTAGAGAATAAGAAGAAGAAGAATCACTTTTGAGATTCTTCTTCTTCTTCAGCATTCCAAGCCCTTAAGGTTCATTGCTGCAGATATCACCCACCTCACCTCCAATCATCTCTCTGGTTGGCCTTCTCTTTCCAGTTTGTGACACCAAGTGTTTGTAGGTCTGTCTGGACATTTTCTCTCCATCGTCTTCTCGGTCTTCCTCCTGGTCTACGACCATTCATCTCCCTTGTGTATACAGTTTTTACTTCTCTGTCATCTGATATTCTTTTGAGCTTAGTATTTAAATTGGCAGCCATAGTAGAGTTGTGGCTAGATGCTATCTGCAAGCCTGAAAGTCTGAGGCTCAAATCCATATTGAGGCTAATATCCTCTCTAGTGCAATCCTCTGCCAAAGGCCACTAGCACAAGCCGGATGACAGATTTGTTACAGACTTCTTACAATTTTGTGTTAACAGAGAAAAAAGTAACACCCACTACTGTTACATTGTAGCTCAAAATGTTGAATGTTGAATTAAGAATTGACATCACAGCACTCGGGACACTTCCATAAGTTCTCAGTCCCCATCTTCAGCTAAGACTCCTTGAGTTTGAAAGTACATGAGGCGAGAGACCAAGTCTCTTTCAGGCAGACAGTGATGAGAGCAACATTCTGCAAAAGACCTGCTACGTGATGATGATGATATGATAGTTGAACATGCAGTGTCTTATTCTTAGACAAAGAATTGCTGTATACTGTTTTTCGTTGTCTGTTGATGGGGTCTTGTGGAAGTGCACTTTTGGTTTGTTCTCTCCACAATTCCTTGTACTCATTCATTCAACCTAATCTTTTTTTTTATATTCCAATCAGAATTCAATGGTCTCGTCAGCCGTATCATGAACATGACCAGGGCAAACCTTGAAGCCCTGGAGCTGTCCAAAACCACGTACATGCAGCAGTTTATCGAAGCCATGAATGTTAATGGTGGGGATGTTGCCAACGCATCATTTGTAGATTATATACTCCATTTCTGCTCATTCTTCTGGAAGGTGAGATACAATTGTTTATTATAGTTATGCTACTGAAAGGAACATAGTTTTGTCATAATGCTTCTGAAAGGAACATAGTTTTGTCATAATGCTACTGAAAGGAACATAGTTTTGTCATAATGCTACTGAAAGGAACATAGTTTTGTCATAATGCTACTGAAAGGAACATAGTTTTGTCATAATGCTACTGAAAGGAACATAGTTTTGTCATAATGCTACTGAAAGGAACATAGTTTTGTCATAATGCTACTGAAAGGAACATAGTTTTGTCATAATGCTACTGAAAGGAACATAGTTTTGTCATAATGCTACTGAAAGGAACATAGTTTTGTCATAATGCTACTGAAAGGAACATAATTTTGTCATAATGCTACTGACTTGAACATAATTTTGTCATAATGCTACTGAAAGGAACATAGTTTTGTCATAAGTTTGACCTTAAAAATCTTTGTAATTTAATGAGTAAAACTGTTCAAATTACCAACCCTAGAAAAAACACCCTTAGGGTTCAACTAATCAGTTGAGTGTTCGGTTAGGTCTCAATAGTTTTTAGGTTTTCAGGCTTTCCTGTCAACTAATAAAAAATGCACCAACGGATGATTGTGCATTTAATTTGTGTAATTTGTTTAAAAATAGTATGTTACTTGTAGAAGAGGCAGAGGCAGACCAAGAGAAATGATGGTGGATGGCTTAAGACAGTGGCATGGAAGGATATCATCAGTAGAATTGATCCAGAACACTAAGTACCAAGATCTGTGGAGATATATGAACGCCTACGCCAGCTGGCTAGTCATTTGATGATGAAGAAATGTTACACTGTCCTATGCTATGCTATGATTTACCATGTTATATGAACTATACTATACCGACAATATTGGACTATGCTGTAAAGAAACGCCTAATTACACTTCAGATTTGTATTAGCTTACTGAACAGCATAGCAGCGAATGTCCAAGTGGTTCAAAACACTAGGCTCTTTCAGGAAACTCAGGTTCCAATCCTTGTTAAGGTGATGGATTTGTTTAATGCCAGCACCAAAAATAAAATCCTAACCATGGTAAACGCACCGGTCATGTGGCCCAAAATCCTCAGGCTGAAGATCCCTCTGCCCTACACTGTCTTACAAGTGGTAACTACAGGCGGTAAAGGAATCTTTTTCCTGCCTTCAGGTGTATTGGGCACATAGGGCTAGACCTATATTTTATAGACCAATCAGCACTCTGCCATCTTGACTTGCCAGGAAGTCAAGCCCATTTAAGGCTTGGTCAGCCTGAGAGCCAAGGTCTTTTTTGTTTTGTTTTGTTTCTTGTCAATACGCTGATGAAGGCTAATTGCCAGAACTGCATTTGCTTATTTATTGTTAATAATTCTATAAAGCTAGCCTGTTATTTGTGTTTTCCTATATTGTTTGTAAACCTTTCATATCTTTACTGCAGTCATGTCATTTCAGTTCTGCCAGCGGTTTATTTAAAGTCTAGTATTTGATGAATTAAAGTGTCTAATAATATATTCTTGTTCTCTTTAACAGGTTCTTTTTGCCTTTGTCCCACCAACTCATTTTTGCGGAGGATGGCCAACCTTTATAATATCCCTTGGCCTGATTGGGTTTTTGACTGCTATAATTGGAGATCTGGCCAGTATTTTTGGATGCCTGATTAGACTAGAGGATTCCATTACTGCCATCACACTGGTTGCTATGGGGACAAGTATGCCAGATACATTTGCAAGTAAAACAGCAGCAACCATGGAGAAGACTGCTGACAATTCTATTGGAAATATTAACGGCAGTAACTCGGTGAATGTGTTCCTTGGGCTTGGCCTTCCGTGGATGCTGGCTGCAATCTATCATGCTGTCAATGTAAGAACATATAGTTATATAAGAGTTAATATTTATATGAATATATGTATTATTAGATATCAGCAGAAGAAGAGGGGAGAGGTGGAGAAGGAGAAGGACAAAAAGGAGGAGGAGAAAAGGAAGATGAAGAAGAAGAAGAAGAAGAAGAAGAAGAAGAAGAAGAAGAAGAAGCAGCAACAGCAGCAGTAGGAAAAGCAGGAGGAGGAAAAGCAGAAGAAGAAGGATAAGAGAAGAATGATGAACAGGAAGGAGGGGTAGAAGAAAGAGGAGTAAAAGAGGAGAAGAAGCAGAAGATTAGCATTCTGACATTAGTAGCACAAGATGGAGTGAAGTAGGAAAAACATTTTCATCAGAAGTAAAGCTGTACTTTTATCAGATGTACAGAGATACACACATGGAAAGCAAACTATAGATAAGTAACATGGGAACGGCATCAGAGGGAGCCGTAGGAGATGGCAGAAGATAAGACGTTTGGCATTAGTTAAATGAGGACCCATGATCCAGCTGGGGAATAAAAGGTCAAACGGATAGAAAAAGAAGAAAAATGTGTAATAATTTAATTCTCACCAGTGTCTGAACATGTATTTGAATAAGATATAGTTAATTTACAATGGACCAGGGAAAATCAAGAAATATTGACATCCTAACCAACAAACAAGAATATCAAGGTATGTGAAAAATTGAGGCCATATCAAATGCCACGGTGGACTGGGAAGAACAATGGCAGAGGGCATGTTGCCAGGAAAGAGGGGCAGGGGCTGACCAAACTGAAGGTGGGCACAGGATATAAGTGACACCATGAGCAGGAAAGTTATGAGATTGGTGAGCTGGCGAAAAGTCTAGTTTTTGTCTTTTTTTTCTGGCAGGCTGTGATATAATTTAGTAAAGAACCTTCTACATTGTGATGATGATGATGAAGCAATTATATTAATTTGCTATAAATTTTATATATCATTTTAGTCAAAAATATATCTTTCCTTAAATATGAAGTCAAAATGTATAATCTGTTAAGGATGTTTGACAAGAATAAGAGTCATTTACTTATAGGAGCTTTTTTATACCATTAGCTCATCAGGCATATGGTGCTTGACCTAGATTTGGACAGACCAATCAGCACTCGATGGGTGACAGGGTCATCATCGTGCCGGCCTCCTTTAGTTTCCAGACATTAGCTGATACCCATTTTAGGCTGGGTGGCCCTCGGAGCCAAAGTCAATTTTAGATTAAATCTGCCGCATTGAGGTTTTGAACCCTAGACCTTTGGACTGGTAGGCAACGGCTAGCCACTATGCTCCGATCCTTTAGTAACGTTTTTGAAGAACAGTTATAACAATTATTTATAAACTATAATCATTCATTAACCGGTGCCTGCGTCGAATGGAGGGAGTTACATTGGATGACAGAATCACTAATGTTGAGAACTTGGGAACAATACAATTAGAATGCCTCTGCATTGGAACCTATAGAGCCATGGGAAATAAAGGCAGAGTTAAAAACACATTGAGAAAGGAGCTAGAGGGTAAGTTTAAAAGATGAGGAAGAACGGTGGATGAGATAGTAAAAGATAGGATGGCTTGGTGGGAGCAGGCTGAGGGCCTGTGCTCCACTGGGGGATAAAGGTCTGAAAAAGAGGAATAGTAACCCATAGCAGACTGCGTACTAGGAATAAACAGTGTTAGTTATTCTCATACAGTATGTTATAGATTTATAAGATGAAAACCAATTAAGGTAACAAATGTCTAGGGAACTGCACAAATAAAAGAGTATGTAAAAAATATGTTTCTTCCAGTAGTGGAACCTTTTCTAAATATTTGAGCATTTAAGGCTATGCGTAAATTTAATAGACCAGTCAGCACTCGGTGGGTGATGTGGTCAATATTATGCCGACCGTCTTTACTTCCCAGGACTTTGCTTGGTAAATATTTAAGGCTGGGTCGACCTGGTAGCCGTCATTTTTGAAAATAGTCCTCTCCGTTCGTTTAATCCCACAACCTTTAGATCCACATGCGAGCGTCTAGCCGCTACACCATGGCGGCTCCCATTTCATCAAATAGATTTGACTTTAAAGAGTTAAAATGCAGTCTTCAAGAGAATGCATCAGTAAACCCAGCAATAAACTAACCAGGCATCCAGTCAGCCCACTAACTAACTGAACAAACCATTACCTGAACAAACAACTAACCAACAAGTGAACCAACCAATCTATTCAGTGAATCTATAATTAATTTTTACCTTTTCCTTCTGCAGGGAGACGTCTTTGTGGTACCATCAGGATCTCTTGGATTCAGCGTTATCATCTACACCATTGTCGCCGTCATTGCACTTGTAGTTCTCGTTGCACGTCGTATGATACCATCAATCGGAGCTGAGCTTGGCGGCCCCACCTGTTCCAAGATTTTCTGTAGCATCCTGTTTATCATTCTTTGGGTTCTGTACGTTCTTCTGTCAGCTCTGCAAGCTAAAGGAATTATAAACGTACATATTGGTGCTTAACCAGGGGGGATCACTCAGATCAACATGAATGATGTGACTGCCGAGACGGCAGATGTCTCTTTAGCATAGAATTGAAATAATTTATAGATACTTTATAGACTCAAAAATAATTTGTAGCATCATTTTAATAAATGTAACTTTAAAACATATATTTTCTTATAAAACTTTAAATAATTACTTGTATGGTGGCTAACTTTTTTATAATTCAATTGTTTGAATGTGCCTGTAAATATATTATCTTTTAGTCGCATTTGACTTTAGGCTGATGCAGTCTGTGGTCAGAAAGCCTCAGGCTAGCACCGTTTTTGATGTTTTTTGTTTCTTTTCTGTGGGATCAAGTAATTTCCTTGCCCCTGAGTTCAAGATGGTGCCTTGTGATGCATCTGTGACAGCTGTGACCCCAACTTTTCCTCAAAGGTTGTAATGTCTAGCCCCAACATTTTCATGTCCCACTTTCATGAATCTTTGAATTGTAAGCTGTTGGCATCCATTTTGTCTGTCACAATTCTCAGCTCTTCCAGGAGAATGTTCTTTGGAATGCTTCCATCTGGCATGAGGTATTCATCTCCCAAGCCATCACCTTCTACACTGTCTTAGAAGTATGTGCATGGCAATTCAACAAGTGTTTGAAAGAACTTTGGCATTAAGTTACTGTGTCTTTTAACATTAGTTTACTGTGTCCTTCCAAGAGACGCTGAAGATAAAACACATATAATAGATAGTTTCCATAATAGTTTGAATTGAGGAGCGCCTCAAGGGCTTTCATATGGGAGACCTGGGTTCAATTCAGCGGTAAGGCTGGGGATTGTTTTTGAGCTCATGATTGCTAGCAAAAGTTTCTAAAAGATGAGGTAGCCTGTCGCAAATCAAATCTCCTCATCTTTACTCAAGACAGACTACAGGTAATACTGGGCAGGTGTTGCTGTTATATTTACCCTAATTTTAACTTGTTTGAAGGTTGAATATGCCTGTGTATTGGGAAATGAACAGGCAAATAGACTGGCTGGTTCTGTTCAACTTGGTGATGAACTGATGCATGACAAGCTAGACGTTGTAAGGGCCCTTTGGGGCGAGTGAACAGTGCATCAAGCCCAGATGGATCATCACGGTCTAAAGCGAATGTCACTGTGAGGAGTGACCAGGGAATCTGGTCGACAATCAGCACTCAAGGGAAAGGTGAGACGGATATACAATCAGACTGCTATTGGAACTGGAACTCAACACTCGCTGTTGAAGATGGGGACGGAGCATTTATGGGAATGTCTTGAGTGCTGTGATCTCGACTCTTAATTTAACATTAGACATTGAACTGGGTAGCTAGGATCAACCCTTTTAGTCAGCTATCCAGATCAAGATTTTATTCTCCAGGTGGTAAACTTTCACTAACAGCCCAGTGGGGACAAACTGATCGATCAAACCAGCCCTCGTATTTTGTGTAATGTTGGAACACTGTTACTCTTATTTGCTTCCCTTGTAGACCCCAGTAACATAAAGACAACTCTTCTTCTTCTTCTTTGTGTTCTGTAAACCCGGGCGGAAAGTTATGGTTGTTCATTCACATCTGGGCTTTGGTCTTGTTCCAGAATTTGAATGATGCAGGCACTTCAATTTTTGCCTCTCAGGTAGATGTATTCCACATTTAAAGGAAACTGCCCTAATTAGTTGCCTTTTATGACATGCTTTGTTACTGGGCAGGAAGTCTATTAACCCCCCCCCCCCCCCCCCCCCTGAATGGGGCCCTGGAACCCCCATGGGAAACAAAAACAAATCAACTGATAAAGTTAAATGCTGAATTAAGTTTTTTTTTTTTAAACCATTACTAAATATTGGTTAAATATTCTTCTCTGTTTAACTGTAAACAATGTAAACAAAACCGAAACAATGCAAGTTAGTAGACATTCTGCCCCACTACACATACAGCTGAATGGTTCTGCCCTGAATCAAGTTAGAGAGTTTAAATATCTAGGAAGTATGATCACAGAAGATGGTAGAATTGACAGAGAAATAGAAACCAGATGTCAGAAAGCAAGTGCACTTATATACCAATTGTCACCATTATTAAGACATCCAAGCATAACTATGAGTGCAAAGAGACAGATTATTAATAGCATATTTATTTCAACATTAAGCTACCAGTGCCAAACATGGACACTATCTAAAGCCCATATACGCAAAATTACCACCTGCGAGATGAGGTGCCTGAGAAAAGCAGCCAACCTAACCATACGAGATCGAGTGAATAATGAAACTATCAGGCAAATTGTGGGAACGACACCTTGTACTAGATTCATCGAGAAACAGCAGATTAAGTGGTTTGGCCATCTCGTTAGAATGCAGCAAGATCAAATACCATCACAAGCACTACATCTCAGAAGACCAACTACAAGAGCAAGAGGATGGCCACAGAAAACATGGATCGACAACATTAAAGACACTCTACACCTTCACGGCATGACAATAGCCAATGGCAGCCAACGTGCACTGGAACGCAAATTATTCCTCCCCACGACGCTTAACGGCAGAAGTGGTTTATAATGATGATGATGTTTAACTGTGATGTTTTTCAAGTGCTTTTGTTAAATTGTAGATTACATTAAGTTACACACATTGAATCAGTTTAGCAGTGTCTGTTAATCAAACACTGGAATGTATGGAGACTAATACATAAAACTATTGCCACTTATTTATATATAAAACTCTCTAGTGTCTACCACATCAAAAGCCATTTCTGACAGCTGAATATAAAAACCAGCTATCTAAAACTACAAGTAAACAAAACTCTACAAAACCCATTACACATGATTAAAGAGTGCCATAAGAAAAAAAAAATAAGTGCCATATTAAAAGCATTTTAAACCTAGTTTATATATATTCAATATTTATGATTTCATGACATTTTAAAACTTTCAGCATATTTTCCTTGTACAAAATCTTTTTCTATATTTTTGTAACTTTTCAATATACACCATTTCATGCCTTTCTGTAAACATGTGTATAAAGTTCTTCATGTAATTCCTGAGGTTACTATCACTGCGGGAGCCAGAAAAACACAGTGGCTAGTTGCTCACCTGCCAAGGTAAAAGTCTTTTTTTTTTTTTTTTTTCAAATCTGCACTGAGTAAGATTATTTCCAAAACTGACCTTGTTTCCAGGTTGATGCAGACTAAAATGGGTACTATGTGTAATTCTGGGAAGTAAAGGCAACCAGTGGGATGATGATGATGACCACATCATCCAATGAGTGCCATAAGTCTATAAAAGAAATGTAGGTCTCAAACTATATGACTGTGAGAGCTGCCGTGGTGTCGCGGCTAGACACCCACCTACAGATCAGAAGGTCCTGGGTTTGGGTCCTGAAGGAGTTAGATTGTTCTCAAAAATGACCTTGGCTCTCAGGTCAACCCAACCTTGAGTGGGTACTAGGTACAATCTTGGGAAGTAAAGGCAGTCAGTGTGACACTGACCACATCACCCACAGAGTGCCAATTGGTCTATAAAATATAGGTCTAGCCTTATGTGCCCAATACGCCTGATGGTGTGGACAAGGATCTTTTACAGTATGACTGTGGGAGTCATTGTGGTGTAGTGGCTAGACTCTTGCCTGTGGATTGGATGGTCGTGGGTTCAGCAATGGTGGACTTGTTTCAAAAATGACCTTGACCTCCAGGTTGACACAGCCTTGAGTGGGCACCAATTAGAATTCTGGGAAGTAAAGGTGGCTGGCATGATGCTGACCACATCACCCACCAAGTGCAGATTGGGCTATAAAATATAGGTCTAGCCCTATGTGCCCAGTACGCTTGAAGGTGTGGTACAGGTCCATCACTTCCTGTACTTTACTGTATGACTATGCATCATAAATGTGAAATGATCCTTTACATTTTAAAATATATGCGATGACTTTCTTTTATCTTCTACTGGCTCGCCTCATCGCACGCTCGCTGCCATCTCACAAACCGACATCACTTGACGAGCAGAAAAAATGGACGACTGGAAAACAACACGATACTGTTCCAGTACTTTAATCTTCCACTCGCGGCTTACACTGCCGGCACATGAACTAGACAACTGTCCAGGCACACATTATAATGCAAGTATCAAATATTACCTTCAAGCAGAAATCACAATCACACTAACATCTTGAACGAAACACAGCAGCTGTCCTGACAGACAAACTCAGACGACCCGCAGACATATTACTGGCCAGCTTTTTTCGCCAAGTTGGACTGGAACAAATTCACTCACAAAAACATCTGCTGAATCTACACATCATCCACCGCTGTCCATGCACACTGTTCCTAGGTCCAAAACGAGACTGCTCACAAACCTTTTCTTCGCTATTATATAGCCCTCTGATCTATCCTGTTCTCGAATATTCTGGATTCATTCTCACGAATTTCCCACTGTTGAAAGTCGTGTCTGGCCCGTGATAATTCACATTTCACACAAATCCTGTGAACAATCATGTTTCACATAAAACCTGACTTTCAGATGTCTCTCATGAAACTCAAGACATAAATCTCGTGTTATCTCAGCCAGTCAAAACATTCGTCTTACATCTATTACTGACGTCATCTATCGGGCATAAATTAATGAGGAGAAAATGACTCACTACAATATATATAAATATATATAACCCTCTTGACCCGGAGAAAGCCGTTTTTATGAATTTTAAAGGCTTGGGTAGACATGATATCTTTGCTTAGTGTCCTGTATGAGAGCTGTCATATTTGAATTCTATGTTAAATATGAGTTTTACAAAATACACTAGATAATTTTGTCATTTGTGTGGTGAAAACTAGAGGCAGTCATGCAAGTAGTGTGCTGGCATGTTTTGTGACTTGGATATATTTACGTATGTCATTGAAATCAATTATATGAGTTCTAAAATATTTCTGCAATTTCCGTAAATTTTATTAAAAATAAAAATCATCAACTTCTTTCTTCTATTTACAAATGTTTTTTTATTTTTTAATCTTCCATTTTTCACCAGGTTCTCAT